CCAAACATTGTAAACAAAGTCACCTTGCAGTGTGGTTACTCGCTTTGGTTACATGGCCAAGTAGTTCCCTTTGGTGGCCTGGCACTGGCGCCTGGATTCCGAAGAGCGAAACCTCTTTCCAGGCTTTGTGTCCGGCTCTCTAGGGCAGAGGGGGCGGGGAGGGGGTCGAGGGGCACCCCTGTCTGCCCAGGGCATTTCCACAGACTATGGAGGAAGGGGCGCCCTCGAAGGGCGACCGCTCCCACGGTGGACGCCAGCCTCCCCGCCACTCTTTCCCCAACCCCCCATCTCCCTTGGGAGGAACCATTGGCTGCCCAGCAGTATCTGCCTAAGCAGGCACCTGCAGAGGTGACCACTCAGGTCCCTGGTCCTGGGGAAGTTGGGGCTGACTCCTGGCGGGCACCAGCTGAGCCAGGGCTGCTCCTCCGGCCTCAGCTGCCCTCTCCAGCCCCTCCTGCTGAACCCCAGTGTCCTTGTCTACCTTTCTGGCAGTTTTGGCGCTGCTTCACGTGGCAGCAGCAGGCCTTCCCCTGCTCTCCCCGCTCGGCTGCCCGCAGCCATCCCGCCTCCCTGCCTCCCTGCTTCTGCCAGCTCTAATGAAGAAGTAAAAGCAGCACTGGCATTGACGGCCCACGCGCTCCTGGTGGGAGCTGCCCGAGTTCAGGGAAGTGGAGCATGGAAGCCATTCTCTTTGTGAGCGCCCAGGCCGCCGCCTTGCGCTGCCCCAGCGCCCTCGGGACGCTGGGCTCTGGCAGTTGCTCTTGGGCCTGGCTGGTGCGGGGCTAGGGAGGCTCTAGGGACCCCCAAGAGGACTTCCGCACCCAGAGACTCTGCGCCCCGGGGTGGGGGCTGCGGGGAGGACTCGCAGAAACCCACAAGCCTCCACCTGCGCGGGCCTGGTTGCCCAGTTCAACCCCAAGTCCTGGCCTTCAGCAAACCATGGAAGAAGGCCCAGTGGGGCTACTTCTTTCTTTACAAATAGCCACCCCTAACCTCCCTCCCCTCCCCCAGGCTCTTAGGTCCACCTGCACCCTATTCTCTCCCTCCTTCCCAGATCCGCCGTGCAGAACAAGTTGGGGCCCAACCAGGGGTGTCTTGTCAAAATGTGATCCAGGCCCTGTGGCCAGGGAAAATGCATGTTCTATCAAATAGCCGATAAAAGACCCCAATCCTTCTTGGGGTCATAACTAGGTGGCACTTGGCTGGGCTTGGGAAAGCGGGTGGGAGAAAGCGGCAGAGGAGCAAGACAGACTTGTTTCTGAGTGTCCCTGTCTTTCCATGCTACTTCAGCACAGCTTAAAGTTTAAGCACTAACACGTCTTACGCGACAGAGAGGGACTGAGCTCTGGGGGAAGAATACGCTTGTGGGACACGTATTCCTTGTGAGGATCTACACAGAGTTTCAACATGGGCTCCTCAGATGCTCTTGTAAAATTATCCCATTGAGAAAGGAAATGCTTTCAGGACAGATTTCCAACTGCCTGGGAGAGTTGAAAGCGCGGGGGAATCTGGTTGTGTTCGCTGTGACTGTGGATCCAGGGCAAGTTTGGAGCTTGACCTCAGACACCAGAAAGGAGGTTGTGGCTTCAGCGAGGGGTGGTGGTGGTATAAAACCAAACAACAACCCCCAAACAATCCACAGGGCCTTGCAGTTGAGTCCAGCCCTCTAGGATAGATGGAACGGCCCCCTGTAGTGCTCTGGAGCTGTAATCTTTATGGAAGCCCACTGCCCTGAGCTTTCTTCCTCTGAGCCAACTGTGGGTTTGAACTGCTGACCGTTCTGTAAACACCCAGGCTTTTTTTAAAATCACAGTGGCACCACGCAGGCAGTGGTGCTGAAATCTTTAAACAAAATGTCAGGGCCTGAATTCTAGCTCCATCATTGCTGTTGGTTTTCACTGTTATTTTCGCAGTGAACTTCCCTGCGTGGCAAAGGAAGAGTTCAGGTTTTTAGACATAGAATTGTGGGAAGGTAACTCTCTAGAAATGAAAGCCTTCCAAGTGCAGTTCTTTCCATAGCATGCTAATTTTTTTTCTTTGGCTTAGAAAGTTTAGTTCCTCTGCTGTCCGAAAAGGGTTATTTTAACTTGTTTTATTTTGTAAACTTTTTCTGTACTGTTGAGTACTAGAACATGGCTATTTTGACTTTGTGGAGGACACTCCCGCACAATAATAATTGATAATAGAACAGTGCTCTCCTTTTAAGAACACCTGTGAAAGGAGTACAAGTCCCTTTGAAAGCAGAAAAAAAAGTGGTTTCATCCATGCACAGTTAGAGAGGAAGACTTTGGGTGATAATGTAATCACACCATATACTTCTCATGCTACCAAGAATGGAGTTGGTGACGTGGAGAATTATTTTCTGAAATTTCTTGCTAAGGCCTACTGCATCCTGTCTCCATTCTGTTTTGTAAATCATGTTAGTGACAAGGATTAATTACTACTCTGTCATTTTTACTCTGCTTAACCTAAAATTGATGGAAATCAAATTGAACATTGTTTTCCTTTATTTATTTGCAGGGATTTGAATGGAAATAATATCACAAGGATTACCAAGACAGATTTTGCTGGGCTTAGACATCTGAGAGTGCTGTAAGTCTGATGGTGTTTGGGAGAATTTGATCTTGTGTTTTTGATCCCATATTTTCTACCATTTTGGGGGGCGAAGGGAACCTCACTTTGTAAAACCCCCAATGACATAAACAAAAAGTTTTAAATAGCTTAGTCTTTTTTTCTTTTTCATGATTGTACTGTAATTTTAATAAAATGTTAGGCTTTTGTTTTAAGGTTGGAAGTGTGCCACAATAATATAGAAGCAGGCCCCATACCAAATGCATGCAAAACTACGCAATGACTGTTTTCACAATATGAATAAGTAATGTGGGATATTTGATACCCTTTTAGGGCTTTAGATTAACCAGCCAAAATTCAAGTGGCTCTACATTTTATTATTACTAATATAATGCTCAGACCTTTCTGGAGAGAGCTGCAAGGTATAATTTCTAACTTTAAACTGAATACTTCAGCTTACCAGTAGAGATTTTGTGAAAAAAAAAGTTTACTTATACAGAGACATCGATTCAATATTAAAGTAAGGGTTAAACTTAAAAAAATATATTTTAAACTTTCTAACTTCCATAGCATAGTTTTGATATGATTACTTCTCTACTCAAGGAGTTAAATTTGGGATCTGGTGTTATGGAAAACTGTTTTCATCCACAGGGCTGTTGATAAGTATTTGCCAATGGTTCAACATAAGGTGTGTGTGTGGGGGGGGCGGGGTGCGCTCCAAAAGTCCCAGGAAAAACCCCATTATCCTTTTTAGTCCATTTTCCCTGGAGCTTTCTGAAGCTCACTCTTAGACTTTTGACCATGGGGTGTTCAGGAAACATGTTTTAAGGGACACATGTTGGCCTTCATAAATCCTTCCAATTGCTGGTGCCCAACCCTGAACTCAGAATAGAAGTGTGTGTCTGATGGAACTCTTAACGTTCAGTCAAAATTCAGGGGCCCCCTGCCCCCAAAGCAGCCCTCAAAGGTGTACAGTTGCTCCTCAGCCGAGGCTATGGTTTCAGGTTCAGATGTGGACCCGGAGATGTGGAGAACCTGCCTTTTCCATGAAGGTTTTGTGACGTGTGTTTCCCTCCCTGCATTCTCTGAAATGTATCAACATGAAATCGGCTGCAGGGTCTCAAAAGGAGCAATATTTGAACTTCGTAAAGGGAATGAGGCTCGAGGCTCTCAGTTGCCTGCAAAGAAGCTTGTTTAGGTAAATGGCTCTTGGTGACCTGCAGTCTCATGTTCTCTTTCACACTGCAGGCAGCTTATGGAGAATAAGATTAGCAGCATTGAAAGAGGAGCGTTTCAGGATCTCAAAGAACTGGAGCGGCTGTAAGTATTTTCATTTCCACACTTCGGACAACATAACTGTGTTACTGTTTGGGTTGATTTTTAAGAAAAAAGACTTGAATGTCAAAGCACCATGTCCTCAATTTCATGTTCTAACTCTTGAAAGTTTATAAAAGAAAGAGGAGGAAGGAGTGATTTTTTTTTGGCGGGATGTACAAAAAAGGACAGTTTCTGGATAAATAGTACCGGTTTGCATTAAAAGGCAAAAACGCGAGACTTGCTTTCAGAGATGTTTATGTCCTCAGTCACCTTCGCCCAGCTTCCTGTAGATATTTTCCTTACAGCCCATCTCATTTGTTTAATTTCTTGATGCAGGAAGAAAGGGGATGATTTATTTGGGTTAGGGAAAGCGTGTATTTTCCTAATAGTTATTTAATTGTCATACAGTTTCTCTGTGTGTCCTTAGCGACATGGAAACAAGCAGTTGAAGTGCTTCCTGATAAAGATCTGCTTTTTTATCTTCAACACTTAAGGTGAACAATGGTCATACCCTCTATTCCTAATTTTAGCTCCTTACCACACGGTGGCTTGTGAAATATTTTTCCTGGAAAAAAATTAAAAATTAGTAGAAATGGAAGTCTAAACTGTCTTACCAACTCTAGTTTTTTTTTTAACATCTATTTTTTCCTACACCAAGATTAACTGTAGACTTCAGACTTCAAAATATTATAGCTTCCAGATATCAAGTCTTATGTGAATCAATATCTATTACTGTGATTGATATTAGTAGCACTATTATATGATGTAAAGAATATAATATTCTGTAAACTTCAATCTGAAATGTAAAGCAAATTGTAGGCTTTCTAATTTGCATTATGAACCAGTCCATGCTTTGGATTTTTCAGTTTTGCTAGGTTTGCTTTATAAGTGCAAAAACAAAGCAAAACAGCAAAAAAGTCCTTCATCTTTGTAGCTACAATTGTTTTACTAAGTTTCCCTATGAGCCTAAACAGTCACTTTCTATAAAAGTTAAAATTTCATTTAAAAGAATGAAGCCCTGTCCTCATTTTAGGCATGGGATATCGTGAGAGTCACTGGGCTCCAGTGTAATTGAATCCTGTATAGTTCAGTGCCTGTTAGTGGTAAACAACAAACAAACTCCTACAATGTTTGTCAATACAGGGTGCAGATGGTGTTTTTATCACTTGGGTTAAGTTAAATGGGGACTGTCTGATTTATTTTACTGTGCCACTTTCTTTGAGTTTTCATATCTGCGATATGAAAAAACAGTGTGCAATTCAAAATGAACCTAACATTTCACTACTTGGAGATAGTTTTTGGAAGGAAAAGTGATGATGTGGTTAACTTTTGAATACATAGGGTTATGCATTGTTAAGGAATTAAATACTATGTCTCTTACTAGATAAAAATACTCCAGAAGTCGTTGTTCGCTGGTCTCTTTCATAGGCGTCCATGGATAGTTAAGTCTTACTGAGTACCCCTGAAGCTGATCCATCCATTTAAAACAAAGATAATTTAAATAGTTGTTAAGATGAATATATAAGTTAAATGGTGGTATTCATCCAATTCATCATCACATGGAAAGTAACTATATTTTCCATTTTAAACAGCTTCCAAATTATTGAAGGAATCTTGCTGACTTTTCAATATTGCCAATATTGAAATATTCAATATTGGCTACAGTATCGTTTCAACTCTTCTCAGAAACGTTAGGGTAAAATGAATGATTCTCATTGTTTCTCAAGCCTCTTTAAGTGTGTCATTTGGACTTTATATCTGGAATAAATTAACTGTTCCTGAAATCGATTGCCCCGATGCCTTACTACTTGAGATTGGACTCAAATTCTATGTACGTACTCTCTCTCTCTCTTTTCAAAACTTCCCTTGGGAATGTCACTTTGTCTCAGGACAAGGCTCCCATTCCACGAAAGAAAACCAACACAAAACACACGTCTGTCTCAGAGTGGGAAGAGGGTTTGTAGTTTTGAATGAAAAGTAATATACGTAGATGCCGGGCTTCTTTAAATCAGCCCAGCTGTTGGCCAAGAGCAAATATTTCATATTTGTGAGGAAAAGCTGAGAAAATTCCTTTTGTTTACAACTGCCAAGTCCATCTGATGGAAGCACATTGTTATCTGACAGCCAATTCATCTCCTTGGGACCCTGGAATTCAAAACCATTTCTGAGGAACCTTGTGCATATACTTTTCAAATATTTGCTTTATAAAATATATTGAATAGTGGGGCAATTCCTCTTTAGAAAAAGCCAAGGCTAAACATGCATTCAAGTTGTTGGAAACAGATGGATTTACATTTTATTTGCTCTACTGTTTAAAAGGAAAACAAAATAATAATAATATAAAGGAAACTAGTCTATAGAGCTCTATAATAAAAATAACCATAGTCTATTTTATAAGTGTCTGTCTTCGTGTGTACCATTAGCATCTCAAAAAATTGTTTTCTTTTTCAGAAAGTTTCAAGAGGCAGTGCGAAGGAGGGGAATTAATCAGTGAATAAACTTTAAGTAGCTCGATAGTATGTAAATGCATATGCTTTTTGGTACATTATCAGTGAGATTTTCATTTGAACGCTAAATGATGCCACTGTTTGTAGACTCAGATTTCGTTTCTAACACTCTTGCTTTGGTTTCATGGAAATTGCCTTTTCATCCCCTGTGTGGAGTGCAGAATAAAATGAAGAAACATTGATCATGCTGGTGGGTAAGACGCCTGTCTTGGATCGTTCCGTTTCCATCTGATCAAGCCCCAGCCATCGCAGGGGCATTCGGTGGGGACTTTCAAAGCTCCCGGCCTTCTCTTCTCATGTGGAGTTCCGCGAGTGTCAAACCGTGAGCTACAGAGAGAGGTGACTCTCAAATCAGAAGATCAAAATCTGTGTCTTTTCAGAAATTCAGTTTGTGGATTTGGGAGAAGGAATCATGAAAACAGAATTTGTAGCATTGTTATTTGTCAGCCAAAGGTTCTAACAGGAAAAAGAAAGAGTTTTTTTTCGTTTGAAAAACTGTATGAACTGTCTGAGTTTCCATCAAAATTTGAAGAGATTAAATGGCTGTTAAAATAAATACTTTCCTTTCTCCATCCTCCCTCTTTCCTTCCTCCCTTCTGGTTTTCCTCTCTCTCTTTCCTTCTGTAATCTTTTCTTCCTTCCTCTGTCTCCCTCCTCCTCTCCCTCCCTTTCCTCCCAGCCCCTCTCTCCTGTTGTATAGAAAACAACACCAGGTGATGTGATCCTCCTCAGAATGTGCTTGTGAGTCATTGTCAAAGAAATCAGTTTTTAATCACACGCCTCCGTGCTGCGAGCACACATGACTTCCTGCTTTGACAGTTTGCTGCTCTCCTCCCAGACCTAACACATGGACTGGCAGTTCCCCTAGGATGCTCTCGAGTGCTTGCTTCTCTGGAGTGGTACACATGGAGCCTGGACGATGGGCCATTTGTTGGTTGCCTTCATGGGTCTCCTGTTTGGTCAAAATGCCCCATGGAAATCTAATGGAGTCAAGCGACTGGTGAAGTCCGCAGTGAAGGCAGAGCAGAGGCCCACAGCAAAGACGCAGGGCGTTAGGCAGCAGAGGCTTCTACGTGAAAGGTGACCAGTGAGGCTCTGCAGCCCCAGCTTCATGCAAAATCGGTGCAGTTGGAAGGCTGGCCAGCTGGCACACAGTGCCCCGGAAGGTTAAACCATCACTTCGGTTTTTGTGTTTGTGTTTTGATTGAAAAAGAAAATCATGTTTGTTGCATTGGGGCCCAGAACTTTTTTCCAGGGGGTGGTAGAACGTTGTGCAGTTCACGTTGAGGTTATGGATGATGCTGCCATCGTGAAATTCGATTTGATAACATTGTAAAGGCACCCAGGCCACCTGCACTGAGTCCGGGTGGCAGATTGGGCTGCTGACCACCAGGCCAGAAGTTTGAATCCACTAGCCGTTCTGTGGAGAAAGCTGAGGCTTTCTGCTCCTGACAGGATTTGCGGTCTCAGAAACCACAAAGCAGCAGCTTCGCTGTTTTCGGAGGTTACTGGGTGCCTGAATCGGCTGATGGCGTGGTTCTTTGTAGGCCAGCAGAGGGTCCTCGGAGTAAAACATGCTGATTTCGTGTTCTGGTAGCACAAGTACAAGAGGCTGAAACTGTTTCCGAATTGTTATAGGGCTGGCATGTTTCCCAGGCAATTTGATATTTTCTCAGACTGTAAAATGAAATGCTGCCTTAATTGGAGTCTGTTGATGAGAAGCCACAGCATATCACGGTGAATTGTGGATATTGAGGCTTTGCATTAGCCTGGCCCCTATTTTTTACTCTTACAATGTGGAAACTGCAAAAGCGTTGAAGACCGGGCATTGGATGGCGCGTCTGGTGTGCTTTTAAGAAAAGTACCGCGGATCGACTCTCCACCGTACAGTGTCCTTCTATTTGAAATAACATTTCCCCAGTGGCCTTGTCAACTGACGTTTCTCACGTGCTTGCACAGATGAGTCTGGAACATATTATGAGATGAAGCCACGTAAGATGTCCTGGACGACAAGCGTGTTGCTTAAGAGACGTTTGAGGAGTGCTGGCACTGTAGTAGGTTCCATGCACTGGGCTGCTAATCCCCTGGTCAGCAGGTGGAAACCACCAGCCACCCTGTGGGAGAAAGATGGGGAGACTTTCTACTCCTATAAAGAGTTACAGCCTGGGACACCCACAAGGGCAGTTCTACTCTATGGTATAGTCACTGGGTGTGAGAATTGACGTGAGGGCAGTGAATTTTTGAGTAAGAAATGTTAGCACCTCTACCAAGGCGACGTAGAGAGTATAATGACTTTTAGTTAGAAAAGTCCCTCTGTAGACCGGGTTCCTGAGTGCACAGGACGTTTCGTGCTTCCCTCACAGGTATGGGAGTACGGAGCCCAGACCCCTTGCTGCTGAATGGATTCTGATCGATTCTGACTCAGAGTGACCTCCAGGGCTCCAGGGTAGAATTGCTCCCCGAGAGGGTCCTCTCGGTTGTCAGAGGAAGGAGACT